AACCGGTCTTGACCGATTCGGTCCTAAGTATTTCGATCTGGTGTATCCAAACCCGAATAGATTTAGATTCAGACTTCGGTCTGTGATTTTGTTCAATTCGGTCTTCGGTCCGATCTAGTTCGGTCCAATCTTGGACCGATGAAAAGCCGTAGCCTAAATCCTACTCATACATTTTTCTTATCTAATGACTAATGTTTCATCATTTGAATTAGAAAAGTTAACTTCCAACGTTTTTCAACTCATTCGAATTTCTTCCTAATTGTTTTACTTTCTTTCAGCTTCTTACAACAACCACTTAAAAAAGTGCTCACATCCTGATGAATATACCTTAACATCATATTTCAAAATTTATACGGAGTAATATACCACCTCAAAAGCAGACAGAGATGAACTCTTTTTTTCCAAAATTAGTTTTCATTACATATTTACTTGGGTGATTATTTAATTGAATGACCTTTTAACACTTTATTTTTTCCTACATTTTTCAACTCCTTCAAGTTTTTTAAATTCTTCTAGATTCTTCTAACATTCAACTCTGTTTTTATAAACCAAACAAATAGAGCCTAAGATTAAGTGATTATTTAGGAATCAAAAACCCAAAACCCCAAAAAAAAAAAGAAATGAAATGAAAACCCAAAAAAACCCAAAAAAAAATAAAAGAATCCCACTTCATGATTTCACTTAATAAAATTTGAAAAAAGTGTTTAAAAAGTAAAAAATTAAAGTTATTGATTATCCTCTATAATTTTTTGAATACGAGAGACAAATTGTAAGTCATACTCTCTCCGTCAATGAGTGTTTGTCCACTTTCATTTTTGCACACCATCCAATGCACTTCTTTAATCCATTTTATCTTGTAATTTGTATATTAAAAAATTATAAAAATTATATATTAATAATCTATATGTTAAGACGAATCAAACAAGATCACACATGATTATTTTTTGGCTTACACATTGAAAGAATTTGATGAGTCAAAGTGCTTAGATAAACATTTCCAAAAGTCAAAAGTGGACAAACACTCAGGGACGGACCAAGTATGTTTTATTCCTTAATATTAGACCTGGCAAAACAGAACCGGAACCGATTACCCGAATCTAATTATTTGAAACCAAAATCGAAATGATCCAAAAAATAAAGATATGATCTATAACTGAAAACCCAAAATGATCGAAACCGAACAGAAATCAAACTAAATATTTAATATCCGATTTAAATCCAAAACCGATTAGATCTGAAACTGATCATATCCGAACGGATTATATCCAAAATCAATTAGATCTGAAACTGATATTACCCGAAACTAATAAAATCCGAAACTGATTATATTTGGAACTGATAATATCAAAAACCAATTAGAACTAAAATCGATAAAATCTGAAACTGTGTTTTCCTTTTAATAAGCATATTATATGGGATGAATAAAGTAAGCCAATTATTTTGTTATTAACAAAACAAAAGGTAATAAATATTTGAAAAAGAAGGTGAAACATCAGTTGAAAGAAATTAGGCCAAAGAGTTAAAGGTGAGTGGAAATTGAGAATGGGCAGAAATGGTGGCATACGAAAAGTAATAAGATTGAGGGAAAGTGAAAAAGAATGGAGTGAAACTTTGAGCTTTAGGGGGGAGATTGGACATGAAAATTTAAGTCTTTGAATAAATATTATGTTAAAATTACATTACTAATTTCATTTTTAAAGTACAAAATCTAATTAAAACAATCTTATTTTGAAAAAAACTCCCTGCATCTTAGATAGAATGCTACATAAAGAAAAATAAAGCAAATTTTTATGTTTTTAAATTTATTTAATTTAAAGATTGGTATGCAAATGAAAACATATTTACATATTTAAAAAAATACGTCAAAAGTTTTACAAAATAAGAGATTACAAGAATAATAGTTTATTTTATCAAATAATCAATGCAAACCCACAAATAAATTAAATTTGCATAACTTTTAAATAGTGAAATGTGATACTCTTTTTGGGACGGAATGATTATATGATGAATTTTATGGAAAAACTATGTTTTATCCTAATTTCATCCAATTACAATAAATTTTATTAGTTTGGGAGTTAATTTGATTATTTTCAGACCAACTCACTCAATATTACTCAATAATGTTAGAGGTTAGCGTTATCATTTTGAAAAGTCTCTCCGGCGGCATCGTTTAGTGTTATCATTTTTAAATTTGATCTACACCATTAAGTTTAGGTGTAAAATTAATTCTATCAATTTTAGGGGTAATATTAAATTAAACTCACTTAATTTCACATAATTTCACTCAATTTTTACCAAATTGTATTCAATGGGAGCGTAACGCTATTTGAATTTATCTTTTATCTTTGCATTTATAAACATAAAGATATTAGTAGATGCGATAAAAATTTGATATATCAAAACTAAAATTGTATCCGAAGCGATATATATCTGAATTGTATCCGAAGCGATATATATATGAATCGTATCTGAACCGACTCAAAACCGAACCGAAACTGAAAAATGTATAGAATCGAATAAAAAAAGAATTGAAATTAAATCAATCCGAACCAAACCAAACCAATTATAACATATATTCGAAAGAAATCCAAAGCGAAAAATCCAATCCGGAATTGATCTGATTGACCGGATTCCCACCTCTACTTAATATGAAAGCGAATGATTGTAGCACATATTCTTCATTTGAATGGTACCAAAAAAGTGAGTTGGCTTAAGAATAGGATTCCGTGCCTGGTACTTGTAAATGTCTCATACTTTGCATGGTTGTCTCTCATCGTAGCCATCACGCTTCAAACTCGAGATTTCTCCCTTGGAGCACCTTTATGCCAATCGTTGAGCTACACTTCACCGACTTATAAGTTTCACTATGCTACCTATGTTCAGTTGAACATAGTTCAACGAGCGATAGCCCCGCAGAGACTTCGTACCTCTACACAAGCTAATCCGTTTCAAATGAGTTGAACATAGTTCAACGTTCAACTCATTCACAGACTTCGCTCGTCTCAAATGAGTTGAACTATGTTCAATGAATCGTTCAACTCACTTAGCCGCTTCGTTTAACATAGTGAAACGTCCCTCGGCGACTTCATACCTCTCCTCTCATTGGTCATACATCTATGCTAGCTATAGATTCGTTGAACATAGTGAAGGAGAGATGCTAATCCCAGAAAAATGATACGAGAAATGAAAAATAATTCATTACGGAATGAGGGTGACTCGTGAAAATAAATCAATTTCTTATTAGCAGTCCAATACATTTTTATTATGTTACCTAGCTAAACTCACTACCTCATGTGTCAAAAATAGCTTACACTTTTTAAAGAAAAGTTGAAAACTGTTAAAGAAAAGTATATATTAAATGATGTGGTGTTTTTAATGTTAAAAAATTATAAGGAGATCTTTTCTAGACAAAAAATGTATTTGGATAGATCTTTCCAAAATAATTATTTTGAAGATGCTCAATTGTCAAAATAGTATTCTCTCTCGCATCTAAATAATACTACTCCCTCCGTCCCGTGAAACATGAGAGTTTTGCTTTTTAGGAGGGATTTAAGGGGAGTGTATTTTGGTATTGAATTTCCAAAAATGTCCTTTGATGTGATGGGTAAAAGTATGATTTGATGGATAGAATATTAGTAAAAAGGTATGCTGTGATAGTTAGGGTATGAAAAAGTAAGGGGTAAAAGTGACTTTTTAATAGAAATGAGAAGTGTTTTGTGGGATGGATAAAAAAAGAAAGGAGAAAGGTTTTATGGGACGGAGGAAGTATATAACAATGCCCAAATCTCTACGACACTTGTTGCAAAAGTAAAAGGTTTAAAGAGTGTTTTACACGCTCTTTTTTTAAATTTCTATGACACTCCAGCGAAAAACAATATCAGGGTATATTATAATAATGCCCAAATTCCTATGACACTTTTTGCCACAAAAAAAAAATAAGAATGTTTTACACTTTTTTCCTATGACACTTTTTGCTATATCAATATGTGTTTATTATCTCCGCAAGAATGTTTTGCATTTAGAAAAAGTTATTGGCAAATACTCCGTACGATTTAATCTTTCTATTTGATTTTTTTATGGTCAAAGTTTATAAATTTTGAGTTTGACATATGAAAAAATTCATTGTGTCATCAATAACCTGATTTATATATAGTCAAAGTGACAATCATTGCTAACATATTTTATACACTTGTAAAAATAAGATTTCTTTGGGAGACAAACAGCAGACAAGAATTCTTGGAGTTGGAAACGTGTATACTTTTTTTGTTTGGATAGATTTACCCTTTTCTTATTTCTTAAAAAAAACCTATCATCTCTCAAACAACATGCAAAAATCAGTTCTTTTAAATTAATTTAAATAAAAATTACAAATTACATATTTAAAAAGTATATAGTTTTCCTGAACCTTCCTCGTAACATATACTCTCTATTGTAGGCGTATTCAAAATTTTCATGCCTGATTAAGGATTGAACTTCTTCCTATTTCAATGTTGTTGCTTTGAATTGGTGCAATCAAAGTTCATTGATAATGCTAACATCATATATATGAAAGTAATTAGAGTGTTAATTACTGTTTCATCCCAAATTAAATATCTATTTACTATTTACAAGGTCAAATTTAATCCACTTTCTTTTTTTATTTTCGCTAGTCATTTAAAAAAATAATAGTCTTGTCACCATTAATTTTGTAGATTTTTTAATCTAGTATTTAAATATGTAATTTTTAATTTTACGCCATTTCTCATATAAAATGATTTGAAAATAAATTCAGTCAAATATCGTGAACCAAAATAAGCAATTTAAATAAAGATAGAGGGAGTAATATATTGCAAATTGTTTGGTTACTGGTAATAAATTCGTTGCTTTCCTTTGTAGATTGTGTTTTTTTAGTGTTTTCTTCTACCTTATGTTATCTAAGACTATTCCCAATGGGAGACTTGAAGATTCTAAAATGTACTCAAAAATGATGAGAAGAGAGGAGTGAGAATAGTTGGGAGAGGAATGGAAGAATCCCTTTATTGATTGATTTACATTAACAAATACAAGTACCAGGGTTTTCCAATCTAGGATATTTTCAAGCGGAAAATATATATTTTTTTCCAAAAAATAACACCAAATAATGTCTGCAAGCAGAGAACACTGAATAGTAACGAAAACTGGAGATGCTTCAGCCTCTAAAACACATTTGAAGTCTCTGGGTATGGCTCGTGCAATGCAGAGGCAAAATGAGATTGTTATAATTATTCATCTCCTACTGGGTGTATTTCAATCTACTCTACTAGTTACAACAAGTGAGAAAAAGGGGGCGTTACGCGAAGAATGACAAATTCGGCAAGAAAGCAGTTTTATAATGGAGGAATGCCTCGAGGAAGTCTTCTTTCTACACTACCAAATCTTTGAGGTGGCCAGACAATGTGCGTGACCCTGCCACAAATTAAACCTAAAGGGACCTGGCAGTTCGGTGTAAGAATGAATGTCATTACCAATCCAAAACATAATGATGCAATTTCTAGCTGCAACAGAAAGTGTCGAGTTGTGTGGGTGGGTGGGTGTGGGGGGGAGGGGGGGATGATGGCTGATTGTGAATGTGTGGGTTAAGACTTGAGACACTACTTACAGGTCCATGAGATCTCGAGTCTAAGCTGTGAGGTGCATTGTCACCTTCGACCCAGCAATGGCCTTCTGGTACAATCACTGCATCATATGAATCTTCTTGTGTACTGATCAAATCACCAGGTAGCCCTATTATCCTTTTGATGTTTCTCTTATGGTGATCAGAAGGAGATCTTAAAAGAAGAAAAAGAAAAACATCAATATAAAGTCATCGTTCATAGAAGTCAAAAGATGGAAAGCTACACACTAAATCTCTCGCAACAAACACGCAAATTCCAACAAATAAGAAGAGTTAAAAGTTCCATACTCAGATTCTTAATTCATGCAGTAGAGAAATGAGCTTTTGATTTGTACAAGGGATGCACTTACACAAGTGAATAAAAGATACTTCCAGTGAGAAGATCATTTTACCTGAAGACCACCACATCACCTTTAGAAAACTTGTACTTTTCAAGGCATAGTTTCTCCAATAAAACACAGTCCCCTAGATGATGAGGTGAACATAGTGAAAAAACAGCCCAATGTGGGGAAGTGCATGGGATAATAAAAATACAGAATGAATGTATATTACGAGTCAATGGTCCATCTCCATGAGGGTTAAATGTTGGATACATAGAGATGCCTTTAACGGAAATTAGACTGGCATAACGATCGGACACGGTAATGCCAATGAGGCCCCCGGTAAAAATGTACTTAGTGGTATCCCAAAGAAACTTTAGCCTTCCCATATTTTTACCGCCTATTTCCAAAATCTGAAATGCAGCAAAGCTCTCTGCAACACCAACATTTGTGGCAACAATTATAAAACTGAAGTTAGTAGATATCTATACACATGTTAAAGGAAAATGAAAGTCGCAATGCAAGATCTACAGTAAAATGCCAAAACATCCCTGTAATCTGCCAGGGATCTAATTACCATACCAAAGTTTTACTTGTAATATACTCCCTCCGTCCAAAATTAAAGTTCTCACTTTCCTTTTCAGGACGTCCACAATTAATGTTCCCGTTTCTAATTTAGGAAACTTTTCCTTGTTAAAATGACTAAAATACCCTCCACTTCCTATTCCTCTTTATCTTTTTCTTTCTCTTTCTTTCCCTGTGCAGAATCGCAGCCACCCCCCCCCTTTCTTTTTCTTCTTTTCTTCTTCCTTACATTCTTTTTCTCTCCAGCACCTTCTCTTCTTCTCTCCTTTTTTCTTCTCTCTAGCCGAATCTTTCTTCTCTTCTTCTTCTTCTCTATTTTTTTATTATTCTCTACTTTTCTTCATCTTTACTTTCTTCTTCCCTCCCCCTTTTACTCTGCTCGACCGACGGAGTTTTATTTCTTTTTTACTTCTCTTGTTCTTCTTCTTTCGTTTCCTCCTCCCCCCCCTTCAGATTCATCAGATCATTCAAATCTCCGTTAGATCTAAGCACTTCGCTTCAGACTGGGTTCGATTCAGATCTGTGAAGCAACTCAGCATCAACGAAAGTTCTTCTTCTTCCTCTTCAAGTCATCTTCGGTTTTTCTTCTTCCTCTTAAAGGTCGTCTGCGAGAATTCTGAAATTTTGAAGTTGGGGGAAATTTCTGGAAATTTGATTAATTTTGTCACTAAGTTTTGCTCTTGCCGATTCTGCTCTTCTGGAATAATGGGAGAGGGGGTGTGGTTGGACGGCAGTATGGGTGGCCAGGGGTGGGTAAGTGGAGTAAGGTGGAGGGTATTTTGGGAAAGTCAAAGCAGATTTTAAGTTTTATTAAACTCCGTGCCAAGTCAAAATGGGAACTTTAATTTTGGACGGAGGGAGTAGAACTTAGTAGGTGAGACTAAGCAATGCCTAAAGGAGACAGGTTTCGGTACCTTGAATTGGCTGGGAAGATTGCTGGGGGTATTGTTTGCCATATTCCGGCTTGGAGCTACTTGGGCGATATGGAGGCTAGCTTCAGGTGTCCTTTACAACAAGAAGATAACATCTAACATGAAAGGGAAGTTTTGTCGGCAGTGGTCATACCGACCATGTTTATACACAACAGAATGCTGAGTAGTGAAGAAAACTCATGTTGGCCATCTTCAAGTGGCAGAAATGAGAATGCCGAGGTGGATGCGTAGTCATACAAGGATGGATAAGATCTAGAATGAGGTTATTCAAGGTACGGTGGAAGTGGTACCTGTGGAGAATAAGTTGTGAGAAGTTAGACTGAGGTGATTTGGACACAGTAAGAGTGCAGAGGCCCATGTAAGGAGATAGGGTTGTGGTAGACGTCACGGAAAGGGGTAGAGGTAGACCTAGAAAGAGTTGAAAGAAGATAATTAGATAGGACCAATAACTTCAGGATCTTACTGAAGATATGGTCTTAGATACAAAAGTCTAGAGATCTAGGAATAAAATAGTTGGACAAACCTATGGACCTTAATTTGTAGCTTATGATGGTGTACTTTTTTGCCTTAGTCTATAGTGTGTGCTTGTGTGCTTTTTGCACTTTATGTGTAGTTCTATGAGTCGATTAGTGTGCTTATTTTGTCTATGTTTGTACTTCGTCCTGCTTCAGTGGTTTTTTTGTTTGTGTTTCTATAATTGAGTTTGTGATCTCTTGGAAATAGTCTCTCTACTTCATAGTAGAGATAAAGCTTGCATACACACACACCCTCACCCGGCACTATTTTTTGTGGGATTCTAATGGGTTTGTAGTTGTTGTTGTAGACCAACATTGCTAGAGTATGTAATTTTAATTTTGGGACTACTTTCAAGGAAAGTTTTTAGAGTACAACAACACCCCAATAGAATCCCACAAAAGTAGGGTCGGGGAGGGTGTGTGTACGAAGACCTTACCCCTACTTGAGAGTAGAAAGAATGTTTCCAAGAGACCCTAGCTCGACAAAACTGAAAGCACATAGCATGATAGAAAAAGAATAAAAAGTAGATTAAGGACAGTAAAAGCACAAGAAGACAACAGACACACAAACAGCTGCAGCAAAATGACCACAAGCCTAAAAAAGAACTACCACCCCTGTAAATTTGACTACCCAACTAACCTAGTCTTAGCTCTCTAGATGCTCCTAGCTAGGGTCATATTCTTGGTAAGAACCGTGCTGCTCAGTCTGAAGCCTTTACTGACGCCATAACTCCAACTTGTCATTAAGTCATTATTGGATCTTGTCGATCAGCACAATATTGACAGCAAAAAACATGCTCAAAGGAACTACCCTTTGAGGTTCCTGCGATTCAATATCCATCACCAAAGAAAACAGGAAAAGACTAAGGGCTTATGGGATTAGTGTAACCCCACTTCAAAAGGGAAAGGATCAGAGTCACCCCCTACAATCCAGTCTTCTCCTAGTTCTTGTCCCACTATATATATCTCTGATTGCACAAAGGTATGCAATCAGAACCCCTCTTAACTCAAGACATCTCCATACGATCTCCCTCGACACCCTGTCGTACACCATTTTTAGATCAATGAACGTCATGTGAAGTATCTACTTTTTAGCTCTATACTCTTACATCAACCTCCGCAAGAGGTGAATGGTCTCTGTGGCCAGTCAGTTAAAGCATAAAGCCAAACTCGTTTTCGAAAACGCACACCAACTTCCACAGCCTAGCTACTATGAGACGCTTCTCGACCGTCATGGTGTGGTTAAGAAGTTTGATGCTTCTATAATTATCGCAACTCTAGATATCACCCTTCCCATTGTAAGTGGGATCAACACACTTCCCCTCCATTCGTGAGGCGCCTTTGTCGTCCTAAAAATAACATTGAGAAACTCAGTTACCGAAACTAGCCCACTGCTGCCCAAGACTTCCAAAACTCAGCAGCCTTCCAAAACTCCACCAGGAAGGTTGTCCCTCTTTGTATCCCGCAAATGGCCCCTGTCACCTCTTCATGACTAATGGACTGACAATACTCAAAATCTCGATGTCTCTCTGAGCTCACCTAGCTCTAGCTTCACTTCTCCTCCTGCTTTAGAAAAGCCATGGAAGTATTCCCCGTATGGGTTGGACACATCCCCTACTTCGAACAAAACCTTGTCATCAGTGCCATTAGACTTGGCGAATCTAACAGTCAGGTCGGGTTTGGTCACTTCGGGTTTGGATTACATCGGGTTCGGGTTGAGAATTCCATGTTCATGACCTAGTGTCATAAGGCTCAGGTTGACCCAATATTAAAATTCATACTAACACTTGCATTTTGCCCTGAAAAATAATAAAATATCAAAATACATATATTTAAGCTCTTAGAATATTCATTTTGAACTTTTAATTACTTTTTAAATATATATAAAACAATATTATGAAGAATATAAAAATTTAATATGTAGCACTTTTGAAAAATGTAAGTTAATTATGTGATATAATTAAAAATTTGTTTAAAAATATAAGTTTATATACGAAAAATGAGAAATAAGAAAAAAAGTTAAACATAACTTCATTTTTAATACACATTATTTTTCATGCTATAGTGGATGACTTTGAAAAACTCTTACGTTTTGACAAATTTTTAGAAGGTCATTTTGGGTTCGGTCAACAAAACTTTCCACAATGGAAACGATATGCTGAGATCGCATTGAGCACAAGAAACAAATTATGTTTTGTGGATGGAAGCTCGAAGGCCCTTGAATCTTCTTCTCCTTTGTTCACACGGTGGAATCGTTGCAATAACATGGTAATCTCTTGGATTTTACATTCAGTTGAATTTGGAATTGCAGGTAGTGTGTTGTATTGTGAATCTGCTAGAGAGATTTGGGAGGGCCTTGTTGAACGATTTGGTCAGACTAACGCACCAAAGCTATTTCAGCTTTATAAGGAAATAGTGACTTTGGTGCAAGGATCAGATTTTGTTTCAGAGTACTCCACTAAACTGAAAGGTTTTTGGGACAATTATCTAGCAATGGTGACTTTACCACATTGCAAGTGTGAAGGTGCAGGAGGCTACACCAAACTCCTTCAGGACAAGCAATTAATGCAGTTTTTGATGGGGCTTAACAATAGTTTTAAGAGCGCTAAAGGAAATATCCGGATGATGAAGCCTCTTCCAAATTTACCAAATTTAAGCCAGGCGTACAGACTGATTTCTCAGGAAGAAACTCAGAGAAATAGTAGCAGTTCTGCTCCTTTAGCCAATGAATCTAGTGCTTCGGCTTCACTGCATCATGCTTCCAGCACTTGAAATAAACTTGTGCTTCGATCACTCCTAGTGGAAGAAAGTCTAAATTCTTCTGTCAGCATTGCAAAGTATATGGTAATTCTGTTGAAAAATGCTTCAAAATACATAGATGTCCCAAATCTAACAAGGGATACACTCCTTCAGTTGATCAAAATTCATCTCAGGGAAAGAAGCTTGCTGGGAGTGTGCTTTTTGAGGAAAATAGGAATGTGAATGGGCATACTGATAATTCCAATCAGACCCCCCATCTGCTGAGCTACCCATGACTCTCACTAGCTCTCAATATAGTCAACTGATTGCTCTTTCGAGTAAGGAAAATTTTCATGACAATGGTGATGCTAGAGCTCCAGGGTTTCTTCTTATAGAAACTGTGAAGTTACAAAATGGAATTGAACTTGATGTCCTTCATGTACCAAATTACCCCTTTAATCTTCTTTCTTTCCAGAAATTGGTTTCACAAATGTCCTGTTCATTGCTCTTTCAACCTTCCCATTGTTTAATTCAGGACCATGTGAAGAGGAATACTCTGCTGGTTGGTAAACAGCATGGGTCCTGTCATTTGTGTAGAAACAAACATCCTCTACTCCACATGTCTCTTTTCATTCTTCTATGTCATGTATGGCTGCAAGTGAGTTGTGGCACTGTAGATTGGATCATTTACCTTACAATAGAATAAAGTACAATGATCATGTCTTGTATCGATTTTTCATCTTCATTCATGTCATGTATGTCCCCAAGCACATATGAATAAACTCCCTTTCACATCCACTTCAATAAAAACAACTATATTTGAAATGTTGCATGGTGATATATGGCGACCTCATAGAACAGCAACTTATTCTAGTCATATTTCTTTTTAACCATTGTGGATGATTTTTTTAGAATGACATACCTTCAATTGCTTTCTCACAAATCCAATGCTTTTTCAGCCTTAACTAGTTATATTGCTTACACTGAAAAACAATTTAATGTGAGAGTCAAGGTTATCCGTTTAGATAGTAGAAAAGAATTTGACGATACTTCAGCCCAATCTTTTAATCAATCTAATGGGATCATTTACCAAACCGCTTGTGTTGTTTCACCTCAACAAAATGGGGTTTTTGAAAGAAAATGCAAACACCTTCATGAAAGCTTTACTCTTTCAAGCCAAACTTCCTACCAAATATTGAGGAGACTGTGTTCTCACATGTTACTTGATAAACAGGTTTCCCCATTCTATCCTCAATCAGAAATCTCCATATGAATTGTTTTTCAACATCCTCCCACATAAGACCATCACAGATCCTTTGGATGCTTATGCTTTGCTAGCACTTTGTCCTGTCACAGAACCAAATTTGCTCCTAGAGCTGTTTCTTGTAGGGGAGAGCACATCAGTTTGGTTCGGTCGATTTCGGCCCTAAACCGAAGTAACCAAAAATAGAAATTACTCATGATAACTGACCGAAACCGAACCAAATTAGTGTTAAAACCGAACAAACCAAACAGAGGAAAACCGATCGGGTTCGGTCGGTTTGAAAAAACCAAAAGCTTCATCCCTAAAACCTACTGCCTACTGGATGCTGCAAGAATAGAAGCATATTATCTTATCCCAAGGAGAAGAAGATAAACAATTAGAACACGGACAACATATTCTGAAATACATACCTGATTCTGGTGAAATCCTTGAGGCAAAAATAGCAAAATGGTCAAGCGAGAATCAGAATCGAGATGGTGGATTATTGGCGGAAACATACAACCACATAAAATCGAAAACCAGGCAATCGGCACAGGAGTTTACAACCGACGGAAAAGGTGAGGTAGATCCGGCGATGATTGAGTCGAGGTTTTGAGGAAGGAGACGGGCGGCGGACGATGTAAGGAGAAGTTGTTCCGCGGGATCCAAGAAATTTTTACTTGATCTCTATACAAAACAAAATAAACAAGAGGCTTTGTCTGCTTTCACACTGTATTCTAACTAATTAGTGTATTCTAACTACTTGCGATATTTATCAAACCAATCTTCAATAAAATGCTTAGTACTATTCCCAATCATTCTACGTGAAAAATCATGGCCAAGGGGTTGACATGATCCTCTAATCAAATATTTTCTTCTTATTTCATCTCTTTAATTAGGGTGATAATCTAAAATTCTTTTTTCTTTTCGAAGGATCCCGCGAAAGATCACTTAAATTAATTTATTTAGGTAGTGAAGGTGCAGATGATCCAGAACCGGCGTCGATGGAGTTTTTCGCTTAAAAAACTTTTCTATTATCTTAAAAAATAAGTAGAGTAAATTCTATAATAGGTCCTTTATAACAGGAGGGGTTTCCCTAATTAGTCCTCTATTATCAAATATTATCCAAGTGGTCCTTCTTTTATGGGTATCTTTCCACAAATAGTCCTTTTTTTGATCTTCTATCATGTTGGTGTTAATTTGAGGGCTAAAAGTGTAATTTCACAATGATAATATATCTTTTTTGTCATACACAATTTCAAAGGCTGTTCCGTTTGCGTCGTTTGTGAATTACAGTCGCTTTTTACTATAACTATAGTCTACAAATGTGGTCTTTCGTCAGAACCCTAGCCCACAACCATAGTCATTATTTTTGTGTTATCCGCTTAACCAATATCAGAACACGTCACTAAGCATAATGTTGATGTCAAATTATACTTTTAGCCTTTAAATTAACACCAACACGACAGAAGATCAAAAAAAGGATCATTTGTGGAAAGGTACCCTTAAAAAAAGGACTACGGAGGTAATATTTGATAATAGAAAACTAAATATGGAAACCCCCCTATTATAAAGGATCAATTATAGAATTTACTCAAATAAGTAATACGGAGTAACTTTTTTAGAAAATTTAAAACAAAAATTGCAATAACTTATTTTAAAGTATATCAAATTGACAAATAATATCTTTTCAGGGTAATAAATTCTAATGTTTTATATTAATAATAATAATAAACATAAGAAAGCAAGAAATTAAACAATTTCATTTCATAGAAAATAAAAAGTTAAATCGAAATATAAAAAATTCACACATAATGACATAATCACATAAACCAAAGTTTTAGATTTATATAATTCATTAGATCGCAATTGACAAAGGTAAAAAATCATAATGCCTGAAAATCTAGACCAAAATTTCGGAAGGATTCGCCAATCGCCGTTAGCCACCTCTGTCTCGCAACCAATCGCCAGTAGAAAAGCACAAAGGAAAAATCGAATGTGGTGTGTGCAGTGGCCAGTGTGCTCTGCCGATAAAAATTCAATGACAAAAGGGAGTATTTTTTTAATGGTTGGGCTTTGGACAATTGGATATTTGTGTTGGGCACTTGGGCTAGACATTATTTGGAATGAATTAGGCCACTGGGGGCAATATCTAAATTTCAATGGGGGCATAACATATAAAACTATAAAAAAAATTATTAAAAAAAATAAATCACTGGGGCAGCTGCCCCCATAATCCCTAAGGTAGATCCGCCCATGGGTAGGAGACGATGGAGTCGAGGTCATATGTGGGTTGGGGGACTAATGACGGAGATGGTGAGGTAATGACTAGGGTCTAGGGACATGCCAACTTTGGGATTTTAGAGTCATTAGACTAATGGACTCTGTAACTGAAAATACTAGTATTTTTACCCGTGCGACGCACGGGGTCGAACAAAATTTTTGTCGATTTCAATTTTTTTCAATGTAATATATTTTCCGGAATCAAATAAAATATATTTCTAACACGATTTTTAAACAATGAACAACGACAAAGTAGAATAAATAGTATTTGAGGAACTGGAAGTGTACTCGAAAAAATCTTTTTTAATTCTAATTTTTTTGAAAGACTTTAGGGTACACAACATCTTTGGTATGGTTGTAAGGATTTCCATTATCATCTAGAACCAATATTTTTAATTATGTCTTTGCCTTCACTCGTGAAAAAGTAACATAAAGCTAACCATGAGTAAATACTGAATTGGTTAAAAATAATACGTAGTACAACAAAAGACAATGTTTGACCTAGACTTTTGTTAATAGTCATAACAAAATATAATAATATTAAGAATTGTCTTCTCTAGAATTTCAAGGGTAGTCCTGAATCAAATGATATCAAATTCATTTGGGGTATATAAATCTTTTTCACAACTGATTTCCCAAAACGTCAATTGCAGTGATAATGTTCTTTCTCAACTTCTGAACAATTAATCTTCTACCATTACACAATCCAGATATTTGGTCAATGTTCTTTAATAACATAATCAGTACCCTATTTTTAAAAATTATTTTGTGGTTTAGGATCCTAGAACATTTGATTTTATTAAAAAAACTAAAGTGTTATCCAATTGTTAACTTTGCATGAAGAATCAAAAATTAAGTTATCTTTTTCATCTCCTAGAATAAGGGATAAGACAAATTCATTTACCATTCAACAAACTCGAGCGTGAGTGATAATACTCCACTATCCTTAAAAAAAATAATTTTTCATGTTCTCTAGTAGGTTCGGATAAGTGAATTCCATTGTTCTCTTGAGAGGATAACTCATTTCAAAAATCGAGAATTCAGGCGGGATTTCAACGTGAGCAATTCCATTGATCACTTGTCTAAATTTTCCATCTTCGACTTTGATTATCCAATCAGAAAAAACTTCTGTGTCACTATCTATGCAAGAGAGTGTAGATTAATGCAATCTCATATTTTTGGTCAACGTATAAATTTTACAATACAACCACATTTGTGAGGAATTGGTGGTAGCACCTACAATTTCCACTCTCAAAGCTATGAGTAAAATTGAAAGAATTTGGATAAAATCACCTTTGAGTACAATTGTTTTTCCTCCGAATGGTTAATTTATGAAGTTATTATTAGATATACTCATTACATCTCTCATTGTGCAATTCAACGTCTCAAAAGAAAATATATTCATCGTAGATGATAATTCCCGTATGATTATACTTGTTGGATTGGGTCTACTTTCGGGCTCCTTTGTTTGATGGCATACAATGAGCACTCAGTTGGCACCAAAGGGATTAAAAATCTCGAGTCTCCTTCCCCTAGGAAAAATCGATGCTACAATGTAGTTGGATGTGACATTCAGGACAACATTACCGTTTGACCTCAGAAAAGCAGATTATGATTTCTAGAGAAATATTTTTCCATTTCCACCGTAACCATGCACAAAAAAGAACTCTCCCTTTCAGCTATCACGACTTCCATTATTTCATTAGATATATTCCACTGATATTCATTCATCATAGATAAATATCCTCTAAGATCAAATGCCAACTTTTCATTGTCATAGTTTAACTCCTCTACCAAGAAATTATTTTGATATCTATTAAGTTGATTGTTATCTCCAAATGGCATGCCACTAAATTACTTTAAAGACCGTCCATTCCAAATAAGCAACTCTTCAATCTCAATTAGACATAAATTCTTTAGGTCTTCTCGGGAGATTATAAGCTCTGCAAAAAAAGATTTATTTGTTTCTATGCAGTACTCAATTTAAAGAGTTTTGTTTTCATATAATGCATTTCAGATGGATTGATAGGTTTAAAAACTTTCTTTATATTCAAGTAACTTGATTCCACAATATTCACATTCGGTCAAATAAATTTCATTCAACAGGAGTTCCTATTGTTTTTTTCAAAACAATTTGTGGGTGACTCATGATACTTGGACGAACAACATTCTTAGCATATTCCCAAATCCTAACTTAGCAACCTCTTTAATACCTTCAATAAGTTATTTATCATCGGTTAATAACTTCAATGCTTCACATGCTTCTATGAATACGTTATGCAGAACATTGTTAACTCTTCTCAAGCTTTTATAACTTATACATCCTCGCTGGACAGTTAATACTATTCTCAAGTTGTATAACTCTCTGGTTTCTGGAAGCACATATTGTAGCCTACTTATTGATGGTGGTTTCTGGAAGCACATATTGTAGCCTCCCTATTGACGGTCTTTGTTGCATCAGACCATTTCCGCACTTTGTGGTTGTACACAAAAAGATCTAGAAATTCTGGAAATTCTTTGCACACGTAAAATTTTATCCCGCATCATACTGTGTATTGAAAATCATCCAAGCTTCAAACATTGAAGCTTTGTCATATTTTTTCGACAACATCTTTTAGATTTTGTTGATCTCTAAAGGTTGCAAATTCTAGCCCTGGGAGATGGAAATTCAACATTGAGTGTGTCCACCATATTAATTTACGTAGTACATAATAATTTATACATATAGTTAGTTAATACACAAAGATAATTGTTTTAGTACCATGCTCAAAGAAATTAAAAACATGTGTTATTGAAGATAGATCAATTCTCTTCTGTCATTTATGCACTTCAAAGCACGATTAATTGTGTAATTATTCTCGGATTGGAGAATTGTATAGATTTTTTTGGGAAAAAATTACCGGAAAAATTAAATATTTAATTCAGAATAATAAAAATACCATTTGTCAAATCACAAAGCACATTCTTTCTCGAACGTGTTCAATGATGCGAGGTTATAGCCGATGACGACCTCTCTTCTTCTGTATCTGTAAAAACTATCATAAAATAAATATTAAATATTTTTATCTAAAAATTTTAAACATAAAAAAGTTCTATTATCCACTAATATTTGTTACATTATTGTTGACGGTCAAATGAATAAATAAGCAAGAATATTACTTATTTATATTATTTTGACAAAAATATCAAAATAAGAATGTTTTTTATTTTCAAGAATTTTAATTAATAGTAATTACACTTATAAAAATTAATATTATACCATAAATATTTTGATTAGGAACACCAATTAATAATTAATTTCTCACACATAAATACTCACATACTAAGGGGGGTGTATTCAATCAGGATTCTGATGGATTTTTTTAGATTTTTAAAA